CACCGAGAGGGATGAACAACAGAAATGTGGGTGAAGGGAGATGTCAGATGGTGGAAGATATGAAAACAATAATAATTTATAAGTTATCAAGGGATCATGAGAGTGGGGGGGTTGGGAGTGGAAAGGAGGAGCTGATGCCAAGGGTTCAAGTAGAAATAAAATGTTCAGAAAATGATGATGGCAACATATGTACAAATGAGCTTGATACAATTGATGTATGGATTGTTATAACAGCTGTAAGCATCCCCAATAAAATGATTTATATTTTCAAAAAGGACATGAACTGTAATATTATATTTCTAAAATTTCTAAATGTAGTTTCAACTCTAAATGACACTAATTCTTTATAATGATAACTTTCTATCAAAAGACTATAATTTCTAAGTCTGTAAAACAGTTTTTTGGGGTTAGTAACACATATGTATTTATATTTTTAGTGAAATAAAATTAAATGAAACTTTATTATGTGTTTATGATTTGGGGATCATTTCAAACCATATCTTTCTCCCTGGAAATTTCCTGTCATCATTGGAAATAATTTTCCAAACTTTGAGCATCCAGTTCAACTGATTACTATAAAATGTATTCATGTGGGAAATTGTCTGCTTACCAGATCCTCCTTCAATAATGCATAGCCCGAAATAGTTTCCAAAGCAAATCTTCCCAAATCAAATAAATTGCAAAGTTAGAAATACAATTGAATCTTCAAGAAGGAGTTCCAAACCTCTGCCAAAACAGGCTTCAAATTCTTAATCCCTTGTTTGAAAAATCTGGACAAAGTTTTGGCGTTTTCCATCAAGGAAGCCACATAGACACAAATGTTTCTCATTTACTCCACTCCTGAGACATAAAGCTCAAATAAAAAATTTCCTGAATACCCTAAATTTCAGAGGCAATTTTTGAATCCCAGTGATTCATAATGCTATGCAGAAAGCATTATGATCTTCTCTTACCAATTCAATGTTTCTAGCATTAGCCTGGAATGCAAGCCTCTAGAGATTCCCACAACCAATCAGAGAGCTGCCATCCGTTTCAGCCACGTGACTATTAATGCTCTCTGCCCCTAGCTCAGGTGTGATCTTAAACCCTGAGCAATCTGCTGTTCCAGCTACTGTTCAAAGAAGAGAAACTACACCTCAGGAGAGCTAACAAAGATCTCTGTTTTGTTTTTTAAATCATTTTATTGGGGGCTCGAACAACTCCCATCACAATCCATACATTCATCCGTTGTGTCAAGCACATTTGCACACCTGTTGCCATCATCATTATCAAAACATTTGCCTTCTACTTGAGCCCTTGCTATCAGCTCCTTATTTCTCCCTTCCCTCCCCACTCCCCCTTCCCTCATGTACCCTTGATAATTTATAAATAATTATTATTTTGTCATATCTCATCCTGTCTGAGGTTTCCCTTCACCCACTTTTCTGTTGTCCATCCCCCAGAGAGGAGATTATATGTGGATCCTAGTAATCGGTTCCCTTCCCTCCACCCTCCCAGTGTTGATACTCTCACCACTGGACCTCAAAGAATCATCTGTCCTGGGTTCCCTGTGTTTCCAGTTTCTATCTGTACCAGTGTACATCCTCTGGTCTAACCGGATTTGTAAGGTGGAATTGGTGTGGAGGGGGAAGGGGGAAGGAAGCATTTAAGAACTAGAGGAATGTTGTGTTTCATCGTTGGTACACTGTACCCTGACTGACTCGTATCCACCCCCCACCCCCGCCCCCGCAACCCTACAGATGGGCTTTGGGTCCCCAATATGCACTCATTCACCATGGTATGATTTTTTTGTTCTTTGATGCCTGATACATGATCCCTTTGACATTTCATGATCACACAGTCTGGTGTGCTTCTTCCATGTGGGTTTTGTTGCTTCTCAGCTAAATGGCCGCTGGTTTACCTTCAAGTCTTTAAGACCCCAGGCGCTATATCTTTTGATAGCTGGGTGCCATCAGCTTTCTTTACCACCTTTGCTTATGCACCCATTTGTCTTCAGCAATCATGTCAGGAAGGTGAGCATCACGGAATTCCAGTTTAACAGAGCAAAGTGTTCTTGCATTAAGGGAGTACTTGAGTGGAGGCCCAATGTCCTTCTGCTACCTTAATACTAAACCTATAAATATATGCACATATATCTATTTCCCTGTAATCATAAATGAGTACATTTACATATGTACATGCCTGTATTTAGACCTCTATAAATGCCCTTTGCCTCTTTTTCTCTCAACTCTCACATCCAACATGTATTGGAAAGAGAAGAACAAGTGTTGGAATTCAAGGCACTATCATTACTTTTGCACCAAAAGACTCTCATCCTCTAAATGGGCTTAAATGAAGAAGGGAATAGTATCAGAGCCTAAATTGTAAGATTCTTGTTTGCAGAAGGCAATGGATGAGAGTGGGAGACCAAGATAATATTCATGTGTGAGATCTACACGGGAAATAAGCCTCTGGTGATTTCCCTCTGTCCATCACAGAGTGGGGAGAAACTGGTGACCAAACAGAGTGCATTGCAGAGATGTCTGTAAGAGACCAAAATAATAAACCTGACTTGTTAGGTTAAAATCTTGTCAGTTGATTCACCCGTTCTGATACACATCTGACCTGATATGGTTTTAAACATTTTTCTGGGAGTTTTTTGGTGGAGAGGGGGTGTGTTCATATTGGGGTTTATCTCAGATGTATTTTGTCATTGGAAGTGACCCTCTTGAATTTTAGTTACATTTTTCTGTTGAGATAGCAAGTAAAATAAAGTTGTTGTTTTTTTTTTTTTTGGGGGGGGGGTTACTGTGGAAGGAGGGGGTAGTAAAAAGGAGCTGATGTCAAGGAGTTCAAGAAAGAAAAGAAGGTTTTTAAACTGATTGTGGTAGCAAATGCACAAAACTGCTTGATCTGCTTGAACTATGGGACAATATGTTATCTGTATTAGCTTCCAATAAAATGGTTTCAGGAAAAAAATAAATAAAAGACTTAGATTCTAATTAAGGTTCTAAGTGAAATTTCAGTCTCTAACTCACATGAATTTTATTCTAATCCCACCCCAATGTACACCTCTCCCCATGTTAAGCCAAAAAATAATTAATTGGAATGCCAAAGTTGCAATTCTCATCATTTTAGATTTATATTCTTTCTCAAGGAATCATAGTTTACTTAGAAGAAAAACATTGCATTAAGTACATTGACTCAATATGAAATCTAGTAAGTCTTGGAAATATAGGTAATAAAAAAAGATGCATAGGTGCCTTAAAAATGATTTTATTACATAAACAGGACATACAATAGCAAATATAGATGGTAAAAAAAAATAACGAGAAACATGTATTGATACAATTTTCTGTTAACTAAAGAAATCATTATAAGCAAAAGCCAGGCAAAAATCAAAGTTGAGTGCATAGCACCTTGTAAATTTTGGCAAATGAGGCAAGCTATCACTGCTAGAAAACCGACAACAAACAGAAAGACATTTATTAAAGCAGCTAGGAGAAAACTTAAAATTATTATTGAAGCCAGCCTACAAAGAAAAATGGTTTGCCTTGAGTACATTTCATGATACTACAGATTTTGAGACCAAATAAACAGGAAGACCCCTAAAGCAATAGCAATGGGGAATGTTTCTATTAGTGACATTTGCAAAGAAATGCTTAACTTGAGCTTATAAATCATGACATACCTGAAGATCTCATGAGATGCATTTAACCTCCAAAGTGATATTTTTTAAGTATGAAAATACTTTTCAGGGGGAAAAAAGATAATGTCTACATATGGAAGAGAAAAGGGGAATAAACAAGTAAGGTCAGTGTAAATCAGTGGTCAATGACTGTATGTCATGAATACACTGAATACTGGCTTGGATCCTTTTTGGCTGCCCAAGAGTCCTTATTTTCCATTTCAGCACAATCCTTTGATAACAGTTATTTCTCATTTAGCCATCCAAAAAGAGGCAATAATCACGTTGACCTTCTAATACTTGTTTTTTTAAATTTTGGTTAGCTAACATTGTCAAGAAATGGAATATTCTAGATGATGACGTCTTCTGGTTACTTTAAAATCATTTATTTTCTTTCTACCACGTTTGATTTTATATTCAGAATTGAGTGAGATCCTCATAGGGTCATCAAATGAATAGAACCTTATTACTGAGAATAAGGAGATCATGTATATTTGACTTTGAGAACAGCGCTCAAGGTAGGCATTTAATGTGAGTTCTCTTTTTCCCCCTTCCCTTATCGCTTCTTCCAATCATAGCTTTGCTTCCTCTTCTGTAGTTTAGGGTCTGAGAGGGTGAGCTTTTATGTGTGACCCGCCAAGTCTCTGCCAGATCATATGTCATGATTCCAATAAAGTGCATCTTTTTTATCTTCTTGCCTAATTCCCACTGAGGTCTAAGTTCAGCTTAGAATTTATAACAGAATCCAACATCCTATAGAATTCTACACTAAAATACCACTGGGGTTCAAACTAACAGTGACCCCATGTATTCTGATTCTGGGGCAACTGGGACCAGAGGGTTTTTACTGCATATGATCTTTCCGAAGTAGACCATCAGTCCTTTCTGCTGAGGTGCCTGGGAAGGGGGGAAGGGGGGATTTGAAGCAGTAAAAGCACCAAGTCTAATCATGGAGAATGTTCCCAAGGAACTCTCTCCATAAAGCTTTTCTCAACCTACTACACTTTGTATAGAGCACACAAAAAATGCGCATCAATACACATTTGTTAAATGAACTAAAACTACTTACAAGTGAAATGTGCCAAGGATAATATCAGTACCTCTAATTCAGTCCCTTGAGAGTTCTTATAAAGGGAGTGATCTGGTGTCAGTTTACAGCTAAATTTTCCCCTTCCTGCATATGCTGACGATATGAGTTTTTTCTGCTTTTATGAGTTAGTTACTGTTATTTGAAGTCGGTCATTGGAAAATACATTTAAAACAGGGAGTACAGTTATAAATTAACTTACTCCTCTCAAAGTCAAGAGTGCAAATAAGAAGCAAATAAGCTCACTTGAATCGCAGCCAAGTTCTTCTGGTCCTGAGAGGGCGCCTCGTGAACAAAGCGAAGCCAGTTGGAGTACCGTGGGTTGGTGGCATCCAAAATGTACCGAACTTCTCCCTTACGCCCACGAACCTGAAACATAAAAGACTTCTGGGTTCACACAGCATGTCAGTCTGCACCCCGCTAATTGCATCAAGCAGATTGGGGCTGTCCTTACGTGCCATCACGTCTGTTCCAACCCATCGAGACCCCATGGCAGCCACTGATAGGACAGGACGACAAAGGACAGAATGAGGGTGAGCCAAAAAGTGATTGTTACTAAGGTCAACTGTGATATCTGGTCATTTGATTTCCCTCCCATTTGATCTCCCATCATAGATCTGCTCTAGGTTTAAAGATTTCTTGATTGTTACTTGACAGAGAATTTCTCACAGGGTTGGGTTTTTTTTAACAAAATTTCCGGTAGTCTTTTCTCTCTTTCTTCCTTTTTTTTTTTTTCAAATACATCGTTTCACTTTTTGTTTTTGTATGTGCCCCCATATATGAAGCATAGAAGGGGCAAATGTGTAGAGACGATCATGATGTGATCGCTTATTAGGGCAGGTGGGAGGAGATTGAGGGGAACTGGGGAGGGGAAATAGATAAGGGAGGGGGAAGAACGCACTAGAACTCAATGTAGTGATGTTTATACAACTCTTTTAAAAAACAACTGTACTACGTAAGTATATGATACATGACGTTTATCGCGATAAACTATTGGGGGAGGAAAGTTGTTATTACTAGGATTCCCACATACACATGCATCTGTTTATTGCAAACAAAATGTGCTTACACATGTTTCTGTGCTCAGTGGATGAGCACACAGAAATTCTCTCCGGAATGCACTGATTTGAGTCACAAGGAGCCCTGGTGGCATGAGTGTTAGGCTGAAATCTGAAAAGTTAGCAATTTGAAACCGCCAGCCACTCTATGGGGAAAGACAGGGCTTTCTACTTCTGCAAAGAGTTACAGTCTCGGAAACTCAACGCAACAGTGATTCTACCCTGTCCTACGGGGTCAGTGGGACTCAGGATCCCCTCGAGGGCAGCGCGAGAAGAGGCACAGGATGAGGGTCCGTTCCTTTAGAAGGTTCAGTCAAAAGCAGTTTCCAAGGTGTCTGTTGTGTCCGTTAAATTCAAGGCAGAGAAGTGCAATTTGTGGAACTGGAGAAGACTCTGGTCTGTATATCATTACCATAATTAGAAAAAAACAATTACACGAATGACAATGACTACAAGGAAAAAGAGAATACTCTTGAATTGAATATGGTGAGAATTGTGTATCTTCTTGATAGGATTGAATTATTGAATTGGGTGACATGTGGATAAAGTACTAATAAAACTGTTATAAAACAAAAAAGGTGGTGTGTCGTTGGTTACTCCATGCCACTCATCTTCTGATCTCGTGACTGCTGCTTCCGTGAACACTGACTGTGGATCCAAGCAAGACGAAATCCTGGACAACTTCAACCTTTACAACCACGACCACCCCAACATATATATTTTGTTTGCAGGGGGTGGGGAGAAAGCAGCTTGTTCCTATTCTCTTATATAGATATATTTCTGCAACAATTCCTATTTTCTTAAATGTCTAAGGATCCTCAAGAATCATTCTTAAATCTCTAGCAAAAGTCCCAGACCTCATTAAAAAGTAGGAAAGTTGTAATTGCTTTAAAAAAAAGGCATTTATAACTACAAATATCTCATATATGTATTTCATATACTTAGGTATGTAGGTAGCTATGGGAATTTACAACTTGTAACTAAATAACAATCACACTATGAAGATCTACTTTGGGCATTATTTGAACATTGTTCTTCTTTCCCACATACCCACAAACTCAACAATGCTCACCTCCCTCCCTAAAAAAAAGTACAGCAATACTGCTATACAAGATAAGCCAGCCATTGCCATCACTTTGATTTCTGCTCACAGCAACCCACCGGGTTTCCAAAACTACAAAACTTCATAGTAGCAGGTAGCCTCAGCTTTCCCCCACAGAACAGCTAGGGCCTTTGAACAGACGACCTTATGGTTAGCAGTCCAAAGCTTACTCAACAGTGCCATCAGGGCTTAGGATAGATTGCTTAACACTCTTTACGCCTCTCGTTCAAGGAGGACAACAGTGGGTATTTCTTTAAGTAAATAATTTACAATCTTTGCGTAAAAGCCCTTCCTCTGTAGGACCCTCTATAGCTAGTAACAATATTCCTATTTATATTAACAAACAACTAAAGTAAACAGACCATCCACTAAATCCCTGAGAGAAAAATCTTCTCTGAATAATTAAATATTTAAATCTGCATTTACTGTTAAAATCCCAAACAATCCAACTAATTTTATGGCGTGGGACAATGATGGATTTGCCCACAGCATGACTCCATTTCAGAACGGATTGCACTCTTTACAGAGAGTAGTTTATGGGCCTTCTTAGTCAGACATTTGTTACTTAGTATTAATCACAATATGTATCAGATGTGTTTGACATTGGGAACCTCTCTTCAAAGATGTGAAGCATACAGAGACTTCTCTGTGACTTATTACAGTGAAGCACACTTGGGGGGTTTTACCAGGGGCATTGTGTGTTCTTTATATAGTTCAACTTTTTCCCAGGCCCGAGCACTGCAACAATGTACGATTACTCAGTTTTAGTAACTCCTTTTTCTTTCCAGTCCATTACACGACGGCTCTGTCTACTATCTTCCCAAATCATATGCAGGTGCATGAGAAATGCATAATTTAATATTATAGTAAGCTTCCTCCGAAATGTGTCCCTTTCAGCAATCCAAATTCACATCCAGATTTTCTTTTATTCTTGTCACACTATTATTATCCGTTTTATATATATATGTATTATAAAAAGGTTGCTTGCACAGTCATAGTTTCTATTCATCTAAAAAGCAATTGCATAACATCGTCTTAAATTCCAAATGCCTTTTCTATCTCATCCAAACGACGTTTGTTTTCCTAAGGGCTTTTGCTGCTGCTTCACGTTTCCTTCCCCTTTCGTGTGGCTGGCCCTTCCCTTCGTGACAGCACTCCTGCCTGCAGCAGCTTACTAAAGCTGTCAGATTACCTGCCAGCAGGACTTTCAGCTTTTCCCTCTAGCCACATGCTCCTCGCTGAAACATCACCTAGAAAGCACATTCAAAAGTAATCTAATCCATCCTTCCTCTTGCCAGCAAAGCCCAGCCGAAGCAACTCAGGACAGAGGGCTACTAGGAAAGTATCCGTCTGTTTGTTTTAATGTGATGCTAAACCCTGAGGCAGTTAGTAAGCAGAACATTGTGAAACCATCGAATGCATAAAGAAAAGTCAAAATTCCTCTTACTGCCCTCCATGCTGTGCCACCATCTCATCGACATTGGCAATTAGAGTCTTGTCCTCCCCCACCCCCGTCAAAACGAGTCTCCCACATTCTATCTTCTCTCATCAATTTTCATGGGAATGAAGTCCACTGGTTACTGTCCTAGGTGGGATGTCCCTCTACATTCCTGGGGCCTGTAATAAAATCAACACTCTCATTTCCTAGTACAAATCATCTCCATTTCACAAGCACAGGCTTCCCACAGTTTCACGGGAAAAGGTGAGCTAAACAGGCTTCCCAGACCCGGAAAAGGTGAGCGAACACCGAAAAAGAGAAGGAATCCTCACGTGACAATGAAAACCGCCCCTGCTTCCATACCGTTGTTCATCTCTCTAAAACTGTGGCACTTCACGTGACGTGAAAACCCTCCCGTGTCCGAAGTTAAGAGGCCCTCGCATGGTCAAATGCGCTCTCCCTCGCTCCCTTCGCGGGAGCCTGGGAGAAAATGCACGCGTCTCGGCGCTGCTGCCGTGCAGCTGGACACCGTCACCGGCGCACCCTCAGCAGCGCTGAGCGTCCTTCAGCTGCCTATGGCTCCTCGCCCAGAAAAGCGCCCCAAGATCGGCTCAATTATTTATTAAGACCCCAATATGTGAGGGAAAGAGAAAAGTGAGACTAATACCCAAATCGTAGTGTCCTAAAATGACATTTTCGGGGGGAGGAGGTTAAATTGCGACAACCGCAGGCGAAGAGATGTCTTACGTGGATGGCTATTTTTCACAGCAGGAAGGGCTGCGATGCTATTTCCTAAGTTTTCTTCCGTCTTTTCAAGCTCCTGAAGATAGTTCCACTCGGGAATGTGCATACCATCAGGTTCCCAGAGCACGGTTAATAAGCCAGACTTGTCTCCAGAAGTGGCAACATCTGACTGATAGCTGCAATTTTATTTAACATATGGTAAACTTGAATAGCAGTGAGAGACAGTTGGTTCTCACTGCAATGACGTTCTTGATGAGAAATCCCAAGTGCGTTATAGTGTATGATTTATTTACAAAAGAAAATCGATGTCCCTGTCTTTCAACACGGCTTTCAAAAGAAGGTATATTTAAGCACTAAGATCTAGAATATGGTGGTCTTTGGTGTATGAAATGTCATCATCGTTTTTATTTAAGTTATAGGCATTCCCTTTCCGCAACTGTTTTAACTGAAGCAGTGCCATATGCCGTACTTTGAGTGCTTAATGAAGCAGACTTCCGGATATCTTTAGGAGCAGAGAAAAGCGAGCGTGTTGTGCAGAGTAATCCATTCTGACAGCTCGCTGTTGTCAGATTTAAAGCAGAGAACAAGCGAGCGAGAGAGAGACTTTCAGATATCAACAAGGATCATCACCAGGAACCTGCATTGATTTATAATTTCTAAGCAGAGTAGTTGGTTTTGATTTTTTTTTTTACTCTTGCCTTTTCAAAGAATTATAAATGTTTGCTGATTTGGAGGTTTACACGCTGGTGCGCGCGCACACACATGCATACGCGCATGCATACATGCAACTGCTTACATGTCCTGTTCCTTTCTGACCCAGCTTAATGTCTGATAATCTGGAGCCACACATCCGCCTGTTCGTCATCACTTGGGAAAGTACAGTTCTTACAGATCTGTGTCTCCATTGAGTGACTAGCCTCTGGACTCAAACACACACAGCGATAATACTGAACGAGAAGGCACCGATAAGATGGATGCAGTCTCTTCTTGTTCATGGCTGCTACTGTTCTTTTTGGTTGCCATGTGA